TGACAAAAGCCTAATGTTCAATTGGGAGTTAGAACTTACTTGGTGGTTGATGGGACCCCAAATCCTGTCAGGATTTTGTTCAAGTGATCCTGGAGAACGTGAAGCCGGCCCGAGGGCGCAAGCTGAAGGCTGAACTCCTTCCAGGGACATTGGACTTCAAGAGCTATGTGTCCCAGCTTGGGGTTGAAGTTGCAGGTTTAGTGAACACTTACCATGATGTGGCTGATCCCAACCACTGTTGGCGCTTCATTCGCCGCAGTGACCCTTATTTTTGCTCATTGGCAACTTCTTGGTTGGTAGGCTAGTGGGCCCCCCTATGTCTTTGGGAACTTTGCCTCATGATTTGCATACAATATATTAATGTGTGGGTTCACCTGGTTCACCTAGAATATGTGCACCAAGGACCTTCCAGTCTATGATGATGCCACTGATGAGTCTTGGGTGCCTGTGGAAATCCCAGGTGAAACTTAGCAGAATATTGAGCACTTTGTGTTACCTGGTACCTGAAATCCAAAGCAGGAAAGTGGTAATGAAGAACCGTGTTTTCAATTTTGATTTGGTGACAAATGGCCACGGCTCAATAATAAGAAAGACTACCCACACGATGCTAGTGACTGTGTCCTGCTGGTGAAGCACCTGGTGAATTCCCCATCACTCTCACAATCTCCCTTGGTTCTCCTTCCTGCTAGCTTCCAGAAATTGCTCAAGAAGCCACTTGAAGCATTACCACGAAAGCTGGTGGCAGATCGTGCAAGAAAGGAGTTTCTTACCCGCAGCAGTTTACTTCCAACAAACTTTCAGTTCTTCTTTCCCCCCTGAAACTTTAAGAGCAAGTCACACATGGCAATGTGATAGTGAGACTTGGCACCACTTCCCTCAGGTTTCGCAAAACGGCTGATCTTGTGGAGAAGGAACCCTGGTGCCTGGTGAAGGCTGCAAAGGCCTTGCGTGATTGGCTGGACACTTGGCCTATCTGGCAGGACTTTGGGGAAACCTCTGTGGAACAAATATGTCCACTCCAATTTGCCTTCTAAATCTTCTAAAAATTAAACAGCAAATTGCCACAGGTGGAAATACACATCTGAATCATTTCATTAAAACAACACCCATCTCCCTCCCTCACCAACTAAGGACCAGAATGAGAGCCAAGAATGGCCTGCTGTCCCAGAACCAAAGTGGTGGTGGTCTGATGACATTCGCCCTCTTGGTGTGCACCAGTCCCCGGAAGGGAGCCTCAACTTATTAATAAGGTGTTTGCAAATCTGTGGGAATGGTTTAGTTGTTGTGCACCCATAGTATTCTATCTGATGTTCTTTGGGCCTTTGGGTTGAGATTTTTGGGCCGTTCCATTCCAAGAGGTCAAGAGGACCAATAATACCAATACATTCTATTATTTTTGAGTCCTCTCTTGAACCCTGAAAGAATCCAAGGTGGGAGAAGTTTGCACCGGGCCCTGTGAAGAAGGTCACTGTCACGCAGGGCAACCATGCTGATGCAGTGCCCAAGAAAAGGGGACGCCCCAGAAAGAAACCTGAGCCTGTTGTGGGTGAGAAGCCTGAGGGTGAGATTCTAAATGAGCCAGCCAAGAAAGCCAAGACTTCCAGGGCTGCAGCTATCAAGGCACAGGGTGAGGGTGAGATCGTTTTTGGGCCCTCCTCCAGGAAGCGGGGCACTGTGGTGCCACCAGCCCCTGCAGATCCATGCCCTATCATTGGTGATGGTATGGGCTCCAACGCTAGGGATGGTATGCCCCCTTGGCCTACCAGAGCCACTTTTGCAGGGAGGAAGAAGCCCACTGACACTGAGTCAGCAAAGTTGTTTGATTCCCGCCGTGAGAAGTTCTACCAATTGGCCCCAAGTACCCTTTGGCGAGATGGCAAAGAAAGGGTCTACTGGAAGCTATGTGTAGAACATGAATCGGCTGAGAAGGGGATTGAAGAGTTCCTGAAAAAGGAAAATGCTTGTCCTGATGCCTCCTCCCATGGTCCAGCGGCTTCCCGCGGTCGAGTGGCTGGCCGTGGAAAGGGAGGTGGAAAATGCAAAGCAGCGAAGCCCAATGCCAAGGAGCCTGGCAGGAAGCGTGCTCGTGGCAAGGCAAGTCTGAAGAACTAGATCTTAGGTTGAACCGCAGGGGTTTTCCCATCAATCGCAACATGATTGGTGTGGTGTGCTACAACATCATTGGGTGTTGTACGAATCCTAGCTTAGCTTGGGGCATGGATATGGGCCAAACCTATATCTGTGGTCGTGGGGAGGCGTAGCTGTCACTGCAAAAAGGTTGGCTCAGTGGACCACTGAACGGTGGACCTGGAGAACAACAAAATTGAGATAAGTGTCTATTAAGTGTCATTGCATTTTGTCAACCTGTTCTAATCTTCACTTCATGAGATGTTTGTGTAACCACAAGAGATGTCTTACAAGGACACAAAATGAATAGGGCCAACTACTACACAGTTGGCCCTATTTATTTTGTGGTCTCTTGACCTCGCTTGGTTGGACCCCGCCACTGGTGAGTGATGTCTTTGGGTTGAGCCTTACCATCAATCATTTGTCTGTGCCTTTTTGATTTCCTGCTGGCATGGAATTGAAGCTCTTGGGGGCCAGGGGGGCTGGGGTAGATGTTGTGTCACAAGATCTGAAGAGTTGACAACCCCCCCATGGCACAAGTATGCAATTGGTCCCTTGTTCAGCTTTGCGTGAGAAGGGCTGGACATCCCAAGCAAACAATAGTGATGTGTTTGACCACCTCCTGAATCTAAGCTGGGCGGGTTGAGCCATGCTTGAACTTCCTGAAGATGATGACAGTGGTGACTTCTTTGACACCCTGTCCCTGCCTACGTCGCCACCTGTTGTTGGCACCAGAAAGTCCAAAAAAGAAAAGAAGACCAAGAGTACAAGTGTGACAAAGACCGCTGCCAAAAGACCAGCAGCGCATGCATCATCATCGAAACCGTTGGTGCTCCCAGATGATGATGATGATGGTTTTGAGGTTCACTCACTTGCCACTACCAAGTCATCACCGCCGTTGTCCACAACCTGTCCCAAGGAGCCACCCAATGAGAATCTTTTGGACTGTGATGATTCAACACTGAAGCTGGCAGCTGCCAACATTGATTCAGAGGTTAACCATCCATTTCAGGATTTGAACTCGTTGATGGCTGGACCAGACCCTGAACCAATGACACGCTGTCATGCATGGGAGTTGTTTTCCAAGCCCCGATGCACTCCAAAGATTCGATCGCTCAATGGACGTGCTAGAAGATCATATGATCTTGCCCATTGGTGGGATCTTGGTGAATGGGGATTTTTACGATTGGTCATCCAGGACCTCCTACTGCTTCGACCGCTCTTCATCATAGTGTCCCCACCTTGCACAATGCTGTGCCAGTTACAGCGGAGTAACTGGAACAGGATGAATCGACAACGGCGGTGGTTGCGCCTTGAGGAGGGGCTTCGTCTGATTGACTGCGCCATGTGGATGGCAATGGTTCAGATTAGCCTTGGACTGTTCTTCGTGTTTGAACACCCTGCTGGTTCACTGGCATGGGATCGACCCTCTGTGGCTTGATGGAACTATGAAGTGTTTTGTATCAAACAACTTGTTCTAAGACAAGTTGAGAGGCCACAAAGGGTGCACATAAGCTTTCTTATGTGCTCCCCTTGTCACCTCTCAACTTTGTTGGTTTCTTTTCATGTGGAGACATCTTGTTTATGGTGACCATTAGAAACCAAATTAAACATCTTGTTTCTGACTGATGCCTTAGGTGAAGAGAGTGCAGCAACAGCTTGGTGTGCACCTATGCTTCTTTGACCAATGCCAGTTTGGCCTGGTCTCGCCAGGGGGCATCCCTATGAAAAAGGCAACGTGTCTTCTCACCAACAGTGCCGCAGTTCAGAAGGTGTTCCATGGCAAGCTCTGCCACCAAAGTCATACCCACCAACAGATCCAGGGGTCAGAGCAGGGAATGAAACGGTCTGTATGGGCACAAACGTATCCACCTGCTATGGTGGATGGACTTGCCACTTCAGTGATGGAGGAGGCAAAAAACTTTGAAGCCTTCAAGTAACTGTCAGCAGCCAGCAGTATAGGAAAAATGGAGTTGCTTCTCTTGCGGTTGATTTGGGGTGGAAAACCTAGCCGTTTCAGATGAAGCCGCTAGAAATCGGAGGATAGGCGACCCAGAATCAACTGCAATATTTTTTTGTAAATCTATTTCAAGCCAGATTCAATAGATCTCATGGTTGGATTTTTGTGGGTGGGAGATCTAGTGATATCATTTGAAAGCTATCTAAACCCAGCCCTTACCACAGGTGCCAATAGATCTTGCCTCTCATTTTCCAGACCCTGACTTCTATAGATCTCTATTAGCTCACATAAGACTTCCAGCCGTTTCATCTGAAATCGCTAGAACTCCATGTGAAGAAATTGAGACACTGAGATCTGTTGATTTTGGGATTTAATGGTTTCCGGTAGTTGACTTTTGGATCAAATCCATTTCATGGTTGCGACCCCATGGCAGAGGAGGATTTGGAGCTTGTTGAAGCTTGGATCCCAAATTGTGTAATCTTACAGGTTGAGGTGTTGACTGATCCCACCAATTAATGGCTTAAGGCTCAAAGATTCTAGAAACAGCCCTATCTTACTTAGGACCGGCTCCGCAACCTCGACTTCTTAATTCCAGCTCCAGATGCTGTATCAGAGGCACAAACTGCTGAAAGCGAGGTGCCAATGCCTTCAGAGGTGGAGACGGCAACCACAGTGGCTTTGGGTTCTGTCTTTGACTCAACTTATGAAGACATCACAAAGCTTATCGAAGGTTCCTTTGATGGTTGGTGGCTGTGTTTTGGGTCTTAGTCTCAACCATGACCAATAGTTTTTTGAATAAACACATGACATAACCCTCAGTTATTGCTGGGGTGAGTTGTGTATGAGGTGCTGGTGGACCACGGCAGTTCCTACACTTGTCCTTTCCAATTCGAGCGGAAAGGCCATCTCGAATCGCTGCAGTTCTGATGGATGTTCTGGGTGATCCTGGGGATGTCCCTTATCTCACAGATTATCCAATCCCCACCTGCTTAGAAGGTGGGCTGGCTCAAAAAGCATACATGCACAGTGTTTGGGTGTAAAACAAGTTAAAACTCAGCTCTCCTTGATCTGGGTTTGTTTTCTCTCCTGGTCAAGGTGCAGAAGATGAACAAGACCCTTTCTACTTGCCCCTTTGGGCCTTCAGCACAGAGACTGAGAGCAGTCTGCGAGAACCGCCAACCCTGGATGTTGCCATGAAACTGATCAACAACTTCGAAAAAGATGGCTTTGTAACAACAGGGGAACCTGTTCTCATCAGATTGCAGGCAAATGATTCCTCAAACCCATTTTGAACTATGGCATGTCTAAAAGATGTTTGATCTTGGTCCTGTAAACCCTGCCAACCCTGTTCCCTGCAGATGTCGGTCCTCCCAGAGAATGGACACATCGATCTTGGAAGCATTTGGTACCTGAAGGGTGCAGGGAGTGTGCAAACCGCGATGGCAGTCGTGCTTGCTTTCCACAAGCTGGGGAAAGAGGCCATTGGGCTTTCCCCAACTCAATTGGTTTTGAAGTGTCTTCCAAGTTTGCTATTGAGGCCCTGTTTGTCCCTTATGGCTTCAGGTCCCACAAGTTTTGAAGAACTCCTTGCAACGGATCAAGTGCAAACACATCCGACTGAAAGACCAAAAAACTGAGCTGTACCCTGGTCTGTTGAACACATTGTATTTCTTTGCTCCATTCTATTTTAAAGGTAGTTGTGCAACATTTTACAAACATGCATCCAATAAGGATAACATCCCCAAGTTGCCCAGGTTCTTCAATATGAAGCGGAGTGCAAAAAACAGCATCCGGCGTGCCCCATCAGCGATATCATGGGTGTATGCCTTTGTGAATCTGTCTGCTTGGGGGCAAACGGATGCACAATCCTTGATCCGACAATGGAATCTTGTCAACTTTATGTTCACTGTTTTTTGTGCCAGGTTTTAAGCTACTACCTGAATCGACATGCACCCAAAACTGTTCCCAGCTCAATCTCTCAGTTCTAAGGAATGAGGAGGCTCCACGGCATGACAGAATCGTGGGACTCAAACAGACTGCTGTGAAGGTGTTGTTGGAGTTGCCAGATACTGCCCGCAACTGCATTCTACAGACTGTGAGCTTCTATGGTTGGGAAAGCTCCTTGGGTGCCAAGTGGGGGTTGAAGTTTTACATGAACACATTTCTTGCTGAGTGTCCTTCTCAGTGGGTTTTGCAAAAAAGCAATCTGAAAAGGACACTTCCATTTGCATTCTAAAGGCCTATTTTGGGTCAAACAATTCATTTCAGCTTGGTTTGGCCTGTCAACACTGGCTTAGATCAAGGTTGCCCCTACAGTGATGACTGCTTTGGGACCAAGAAGATTCTTGTTGGGTTCAATGCGAAGACTGGAAAGGTTGCTCGCACATCTCCATGGGCACACAGGCTTAAGAACACCAAGGAGTCTGTGACTTTGCTTTTTGAAATGGTACATTCACAATTCTCCAACACCCCAGCAACATACCGGAAACGGGTGACCAAGCTGGAGTTGGAGGGCAAGGCTGAAGTGACAGCACTGGCGTGTGCCCTGTCTCAGTATCAAAAGGAAGTTTTGGTTCTGCTTTCAAAAGTGCCCACAAAACACAATAGCAAGTCAGTGAAACATACTACACCATACCAGGTGCCCTTGTGGAAGAGCTCACAGGCCAAGTTCCCAATGTGCAAGAACCGTTGGAGAAAAAGTTGCTGGGGTTCTTATTGAAAACTTTTCATTTTCCTTGATTTCAATAATCCGCTTGGCCTATACTGAGCTTTCCCTTGAATCCCCATCCCAGGTTCTTGGGCCGCCTTCGCAGTGGAGATCTGACTCTGCAAATGGAGCTGTCATCGGCCTGTGCAGCGCGGGATGAGAGTTGGAACCCTCGTGAGAATTCATGCAACGTGTCCCACAACATTGTCTTGAGTTTGGGGGCCTTGGAAGTCTATCTTTGGACAGGGTTTTGTTTGAGGTCACCCCATTCAAGATGTAACTAGGTATCCTGGAGATTCTGAATGAACTCACACCTGGAAAAGTGGTTGCAGATGGGAAGGCGGAAGCTGCCCTCCACAAATCCGCAGCTGAGCTAGATAGTGCTGGCTACCAGCTGCTCATGGAGGAAATTGCCTATGATGAGCGTTGTTTGCAGGTGTTCCAGGGCAAGGTGTCCAACTTTGAGATCCGGGTTACCCAGTTGAAGGATTCATGGCGACAAAAGCGATTCGAGCATGCAATGGGTGCAACTCAGAAATGGTTGGATTCCAATGTTTCTCAACTCGCAACCTACATGTTGTACTTGTCTTTTGGTTGTGTTTGTCTTTGTAGGAGTTGGTAAGTGTTGAGCCATCCCATTTTGGAGCCACCTAGGTCGAGTCCTTTGCATGGCCATCAAAGTTTGATTCTGGGTCTGCTTTGACAATGATGAAGCGTCTTGAGGATGCTGCTTCCAAATGGCAAAGTGTCACCAAGTGCCGTGATGTTGCCTTTTGGCTGATCATCAGCAGGGCTTTATACTCTGGGTGTTCTTGGTGAAAGTTGTTGTTGTTTAACATGTTCTGCTAACCTCTAAGGTTTTGAGGTTTTGTCTGGCTCTGTGTTAAGGCCCTGCTCTTCATTTGCAACTATGCAGCCCCAAGCCTGATCAAATCTGATGTCACCGCAGGAACATTCAGTATGATTGGGCATATGCTGGGTTCACAGACCTTTGGTGCTAACAGTTGTGGGCTTATGCTTTGCCCTGTGTTCTCCTACCAGAAGCACAAGTTGTTTGTTGAGGAGCATGCGCTGCTGCAAATGCTGGCCAACAGCTCTTGCCTTGTAGACATGATGTTTCAACTGAACTTTGACCCCAAGTCGAAGTCAGCACTTTGTCTGGAATTGGATTCTGATGTTTTCCTTTCTAACTCCTGCCCCCTTCACACCCAACCCGCCTCAAAGACCTCAAGCTCATTCTGGGCAGTGAGGATCAGCGAGACCAGCGGCCTCTGGCGTACAATGGGCGCATTCTAGCGCCAGGTGACATGACCCAGGATTGGCTCTGGCGCGATTCATCTTTGTGCAAATTGCGCCGGAATGTTGCTGAGGCCAAGCAGTTGGCAGGGAAACACATGATTCAAGTGGAAGACATGTCCCCCACTGCACTCCCTGCTACAACAGACAATCCTATCCAGGGGGCCCATAAGTATGCCCAAGTGGGGCCTGACGCAGCCAAAAAACTTCTTCAGTCTGCAGTCGAACCTCATATCTTGTTGAACCAAGTTGTGCTGAGGCTTTTTGTAAACATACTAACTATGTATCTAAATGGTTTGGATCTTTGTGTTCCCTTTCTGATCTGATTGGTTCTGAGGAAGGTGTTGCCTTTGGGAACCAGCTTGCACTAATGCTGGTGGACTGCACGCCCTTGGTGGGGAACTTCTTTGAGGGGTTTATCGATCTTGCCAATGACCTCAATGTTCCATTGAAGTATGCTCCCATCTTTGCTGATGATTCTGCTGAAGAGTGGTTCTTCAGTTATTTTCAGCAGGAGCTTGTTCGCCGCTTCCAGTTAAATGACTTCAAGATCCGCAATGTTGACAGGCACAGGTCAACAAAACCCTCTTTCAGTGTCTCCCTCCAGGGTTTACATGTGTGTTTTCACAATCAATTCCCAAGCCATGTCTTGTGCCCCAAAAGCTCTTCATTGCAAAAGGTTGGCTGAAGAACCGCCGCCAGCCCACATGGAGTCCAAGCCGGAACCACCGCTGCTCAAGCGCTGTGTTTGGGGCAAGGTTGGGAGTTGGGAGAATGGGTGTTCTTTTGCGTTTAGATCCAAACAATCAACATGTTCTACTTCCACACCCCAGCAACTCTCAGAGTGATAGATATACAAATTCAATCTCAATTCCATGTCCTTTAAAAGTATGGACTGCAAAACAAAATAGCAAATGTCTATATGCTAGAATTCAATTGGCAATTGGCCCTATTTCTACTGCAATCCAGCACCAGGTGAATGGTGAGATCAGCACCATTGAGATTCCGGAGGCAGAGGTGAAGAAGTGGTGGGGGAAGGATGAGTGGAGGGTTTTTGTGCAGGACTTTCAGGACCGACACCCGACTGTCAAGAAGTTGGAGAAGGCTACCCCCAAATCTTCTGGCACCACTCCATCCACCACTCCGGTCCCGAGAAAGCGCAGCCTGGAAGTTGACTACTCCCAGTGTGTTGTGGTTGAAGATGATGCTCCTGGCAGTGCCACGATCAAAGATGTTGGAATCTTGAATGCGCGCTTCCCAGCTGATAAGAAGTCGAATGACCTTCCATCATTGGTGGTTTCTGATGCCGGCCCCTACATCAAGAATTCTACTGGATTCACTGTTCCCTGGCAAAAGAACAAGTTTTGTCTCCCAGCCCAAACTGTTCAAGCAAAAAATAGAAATCTAGGGGGTCAGTACAGTAACTTTCTAATGGTGTGCTCAACCAAGTGAGGTGACCATTGCAAATGGATCTGTCCTTGCTGGATGGGGCAAAGGGAAATTCCGTGAGAGGGGGCAAAAACCATGTGATGAGAATGAGTTGGAGTTCCTATGCACCTCCGAAACCATGGTACACATTGACAATAAGTGCTTGAGCCTATCAGACCTCTTGGATTCTGAGAAGGAGTCTGCAAAGGTTGCATACTACAAGGTGTCCAAGGATCCAGATGGAAAATGGAACTTCAAGCAGGATGGGTCTGGGGTTGGTTGTGTTGTTGAAAGAAAGGGTTGTGTGTGTTGAAAGAATGGGTGCATATTTTAGCATTGTTGGATGTTTTTTGGGATGTTGGTTCTTGCCTCGGTGCTTTTGGCCAATGCCAGGAGCACAGCGTGATTTTCACCCCCCCAACCAGAAGATGATGGTGACAACAAGATCTCCCAGGCCCAGATTGCAAAGGTGGCCCCAGTGAAGCATTGGACTTCCTTGGTGACCACGGTTGGATGGCATGTGAAGCGCACTCAAAAGGGGATCTCGCCAATTCGCCCCATTGTGTTGGTGACCACCGATGTCTCCCTTGACAATGGAAAGGTCCTAGTTTTGCAGAGCTGATGAATGTAGCTCTGGCTGTAGTGTGGCCATGTCGGCCATGCTCAATGAAAGAATGTAGGTTTTGCAAATGCCTTGTGGCCCCAGAGCATCCATAGCTTGTTACAGCATTACAGTAGATTCCAATGTCTTGTAACCATGTGGACTTCTTTGAACTTGCTGGGTGCCACAGAATGAGCCGAACGACCTTCCTTGGCGTCCAGCCTGAAAAGTTGCCACCTACAGCTGATGGCAAGCACCAGGGTCCCAGGGTGATGAACCACCGAATGGATCACTACAACCCTCATGCATTGCAGAAGTGAGATTATCTTAGTAGTGCATGTTTTTTGGAACTGGTATTTTGTGGCAACACTGATTTTGTGCAACCCTGCCAAACACCTGAACCTGACCAATGTGGCCGCCTTACCTCGAGAACTGTGTGCACCGCCCAGGCCACTCCTCCAGTGGTGCTGCCAGGACAATGCGCTTGCCTGGGCTGGAGCTGTTCCGGTTGGGTTGGGGTTGACTGGTACCCCACTTTTCATCCATTAACCTGTCCAATCTGGGCAGCCACAGTTGGCTGAATGGTATTGCCCAAAGATGATGTGCCCTGGATTGAACCAATGAGACTAATCCCATGAAGAAAAAAACACTTAATGAGACTAATCCCATGAAGAAAAAACACTTGAAAAGAGTTCAAAAGAACTCATGAATGAACTAGTCCCTTTGAGCTCACTGAACTAATCCCATGAAACTAACCCTTTGAGTTGAACAGAACTCATTACCTGTCCATATATATCTCTGGAGGGATGGATCCTTAACTTTAACCATCTTGGAATGACCAGTGTGTGTCTCTCTCTCTCTCTCTTCTGTGAGTGCATGGCCAATGTGTGCAGATTCTGGACGCACTGATATCTTGGCTTGGACATTGCCAGAAACGGAGGTGGTGCATGCATGGCCACTGAAAAGAGGCGACAGAAGAGCCTCAAACTTGATGGGAAGAGCAGGAGGTGCTCCTATTTGGCCTGACAGCTTGGGAACTCGCTTGAGTGATCGCGTTGCAAACTTGTGCGCTGCCAGTGGCCTGCATTAAAGGCCAAAACGACCAACCGCTGGCTGGGAGGCTACCGCAACAGAGCGCAAACTGTGACTGAGCTGTGGAGGGCCACTGCGAAGAACTGGGTGACGCAGTGAGGCAGCTTGTGTGCGAGCCTACTCAAAGATGACAGTGATGGCATCTCTGCGAGTGAACCATACATCCAAGCGCTCAAGGCGTCAATTGCGCAGAAGTGGCGCGCAGGTTGAGCAGTTGGCGGTGGCTTGAGCAGACCAGTTGCAGTCTGCATCTGCGCGTGCTTATCGACCCAATGGCAACCTTGTGGTGATGCGGGCGATGAAAATGTCTTGCCCTCACTGATGAGGATGATCTTTGGATACAGGCGCAATTAGTTGCGAGTCTGGTGAAGACAAATTTTATTTGGTGCCGCTCAATCGCAATGCTTTTGCTGATCTCTGTCTCTCTCTCTCTCTCTCTGGTGGGCATGGTCTGTTCAATCATCCCATCTGGCTGGCGTTTGGGCCGCTTGTGTGCTTTGCTAGTACCCTGTACTCTTCAGTGGAGACACCCCTTCTCCTGAAACACCCCCTCTCCCCAAGCAGTGCACCCCCCATAGTTTGGGTCTATCCTAATACCTGTAACAGTGGATGATGATGGTTAGTAAAGGCCTTGTTCAAAAATAGTTATAACTGTTTACTGGTTGTTACAGGTAGTACGACAAACCCAAACCATGGTGCACCTGATCCAGCCAAGCTGGTGACCCAGTTACAAAGGAATTCACTGAACCTTGGTGTGCATGCCTTGAGGTTCATCTCGACTAATTAGTGGGGCTTACTCACTGGAAACGCATTGACTGCATGAAAAGGTGTTGCCATTATGGATCCTTTCTGAAGGAGTTCCCAGAATAATGGCCGCGGCCGATTGAAAATGCCTGAGCTTTTTGGCTCTATTGATGGCTCAAGCTGGCTCAAGTTCAATTTGATTTTTTTTGGGCAAGAAGCCACACTCAGTGATTGATTTTTTTGTCAAGAAGCCACACTCAGTGGCACACTACTTTGTGATTTTTTACATCATACACACACATATATATAAATATATATACTCACCATATAATGAGTTATAAGGAACTCCTCCATCCGATCTCTGTTCTGCAACTGAGCTGCAGGACCATCATCAGCCAGTGCTGCTGGCAAACAGCGGCCGCCGACCGCCGCGGCAGTGGCCGCACTGTTGGGTTGGGGTGGTGGTGTGGGAGCAAACCCTAATCAAACAAATTTATAAAGCAAACACCACCCACCCCTGAATCAAATGAATTCCAACCCTAATCACCTGCAAAACTTTTGGGGCTCTCTCCTCGTGAAGAGACGTGGTTGAGGCTTTGAGGTCCCTATACGTCTCGGTGTCCCAAAACCACCGGGAAACTATACCGTCGGTGATACGACCGTCGGACGATACGATTCACACGACCCGTCGACTGGGACCCTCGACTGTCGATTCGTCACACGGTCGGTCTTGGGGGACCCCGTAGAAGGTCATTCAGAGAGGACCGTGATGAGATCTTCTCTGAGGGGGGTGATTTTCCGAGGTGGCCAGAATTGAGTCATCCTGCTCTCAGGGCCTGTTGCCGGATGTTCAACTGTTCAACCTTTCCAAGCACAGCCAACAGGGTCGGTATGGTGAGTACACCAAAGCCGTATCTACACCGGAGGATTCCAACCACCATTGAATGATTGGTCACCAATCAAGAGTGTTGCAAAGAATTTTAGACGACCACAGTATATACGTCCAACCGAACTCTTTGAAACCGTCGAACGGAAGGCGAACGGAGGCTCTCGTCCTCCCAAAGCAAGTCGTCCCCAGATCGCCGGAGGCGAGGCGCGAGCGCTTTCTTTCTGAACGCGCCGCTTGGCACTCCGTGTTTTGGGGTGCGCCGCCAAGGGAACCGCGGCGACCACGCGATCCACCGCACTTGGCCTGGATCTCTAGTGGATCATGTGATTTTCGCATCAAAGCTTCACCCAAGAACCTAATGCATCAGGTTTCGCCTAAGCTGAACCTCTCTTGTTTTTGAGATCAAAACGCTTCAGGCCAAGGAGTTCTTGACCACGTCCGGGAGCTCTACATTCGCAAGCATGCAGGTTTCCAACCGCTCAACTTCATCTTCACCGTGCCCATGGCACCTGCGCGGGTCCAGCGGCGGGGGGGGGGGAGCCGAAGGGTCGTTCGGTGCACCGTTCGAAGGGACGGACGAGATGCCGAAGTGTGAAACAGCTTGCTTCGCACCCGATCTCGACCCCAAGTCCAGAGTCCAGTTTGACTAGCACCCGACTCTTGTGGTCTCTCCTGGTGGAAATGGAGACTTGAAAGTGGCAGGCGGTGACCTGGCAGGTCTCGGGTGTTGGTATATGTTGCATGTCCGAAGTGATCAAGAAATTCCTGAACTCTGGTCACCATATTCCTCTACAAACAGGTGGTATTCTAAGTCCATGATGATTTTTCCATGACTCTTGGGGGAAAGGTGACAGTCCTAGCAACTCATCGAGTTTAAGGGTCCAAAACCGAAACTCAATACGTCCTGGATGTGAACTTGATCTGTTGCGGGGTCAAATGAAAAAGACGGGTTTATCTAAATAGTTTCACGGGCACTTATGTGGAAAGTTCCACCACCGAAACGCCATCCACCACTGCATGTTCTCAATCAATGTCGAAGGTCATCAGCAAAAATGTGTTTCGCGATGTGTCGCGTTTTTGTTCTCCGAAACATGTGGCCTTCTGAACAGACCGAGTGCAGTAGGAACATGAAGCGGTCCATATTAAAATATGGTCTGCTACCACTGAAACCATTGGTTCAACTTTTATGACCATTGAACCCATTGGTTCTGCCGCAGAACAGCCGGTTGCACACTTGGGCCGTATGACCCAACTCCATGGGACTGGAATGTATACCGACATTGTTGCTGGTCAACCACCCCCAGCCTTAAACCATTCCACCAAAGGAATGGTTCTTTTCCACCACCCCAGAGGCCGTGGAGATGACGCAACCCCGCAGCCACCCAAGTGTGGCGCGGCATTGAAGCGTTTGCGGATTATTTCCCATCCCCTTTCCTTGCCTCTCTCCACTCTGCGGGTTTTGACCCACCATGGACTAAAGATCAAAGATATCATTGGTTTTCGAATCCAAGACACGCCATGCCGTATGGAAGCTACATTGGACGTTCTTTCCGGGGTCCAACGGACCATCATAGATGCCTTGCAAAGCAGTTCATGTCAGAACCTTCTTGCAATTAATCTCAAATTGATAAATTAGCTTACTTCGAGTGATCCGCATGGCAAGCATCACACAGAGCACTGCCCATTTTTGTTTGAAGCATTTGGTCATGTGAGACACAACCCAAGCTACCCCTTCAGCGGTGCTCATTTGACTAGTTGGTAACTCAAACACATCCACATAATGAACATGCCACCCGACCACCTGAGATACCCAGGTCTGCCAGCAAACACAAACATGCCGGCGCGCCACCTGTCAGGGTATGTACTTGATCAGCAGATAAAAATGTCAGCCAGCCACCTGAATCAGGTACCGAGATCTGCCAACACAAAGTTGACAAGAGGCCCACAAATAAAAGATAACCTTTTTGTTGTTTTGGGGGGGGGGCAC